TGCACTTAAAAGTTTCTATCTCCTCCTCCTTCATCTGCATGATAGTTTAACAGTTGTACAGGCATCGTAATTATTTTAAATATGTAAATCCACTGTTATAGTCCCATTTGCCTTGATATTTCCCCCCTTCCACAACATATTCAAATATGCAAGTGTTAAGTGCATGAAGTATTTCAAGTGCACTTATTCTTTTTAAAATGGTTAGAGTAAATGCACTACTTTCACTATTTATACTACAAAATGGCAAAGAATAGTGTAGAAGTATGTGATTCTATCTCTATAACCCGCCTCCTCATTTGCATTGTAAATGAGCATGTGTGAACACACACTGTTTTACACTTTCACTGTTTATACTGACAAATGCCAAAGAATAGTGCATGGGATTCAATCTCTCTAGCTCCGCCTCCTCATTTGCATTGTAAATGAGCATATGTGAGTGTAAAGCGGATGCTGGTGTTCGCACCTGTTCTGTGCGTCAGCCTGTCGCTCCTGCTAACTGTGCTCACATGTTTCTATCTCCTCTGACGAGTGGGCTGCAGTGTGTGTCTGGCAGCAGGGTGTGTGTGCAGTGATTCAGACAGGCTCTCCAGCCAGATCTTCATGACTTCAGGCCTGCAGCGCACAAACACTGCGCTCTCGCTCATCTCTTCTGACATCTGCAGTGACTCTGTGCCTTCACACCTGCGCAAGGTCAGGACGGCTGCTAATGCGCTCTTGTAGGCATCATCTGAGCTGGGCTGAATGCTGCTGGAGTTTTTACTGTTACTTTTATGCAATTTGCAATCTTTTGCTTTTGTTTTTTTATCATAAGTTTTATGGATTTTCCTTTACACTCACATTCATTAGAAATTTCCAAAATGTATGGTAAGTTAGAGAGGGAAGGTACAGTATTTAATACCCTATCATACACCTGGCGCAATAAGGTGCTTGGCGCGATTTGCTGCTATTTTCAGACAAAGCAACACTAATTTTCATGATTTGTGCCACGTTGTTTACATAGCAAATCCATTTGCGCCACTTTGTGGACTCGTGTGTGCTGGTCTATAAAGGAGGTGTGTTAAGGCGCATTGCTGGTGCATTGCTATTTTAAGGAAATAGTCCACGCCATTAACCAACTTAAAGCTGCTCTAAAGTTCAGCAGAGTGTGTTAGTTATGCACTTATGCAGATCCAAACACTTACAGATTACTGAACACACACGGAAATGCTTGTAGTTTCTGCCAACCCGACTTTACACCATAACATTTCAATCCAGATGGATGGGGCAACCGTTACTGCATCCAAAATGGTGAAAAGCCTTGGAGTAACGATTGATGACTAACTAAACTTCTCTGACTACATATCTAGAACTGCTCGATCGTGCAGATTCGCACTCTATAACATCAGAAAGGTCCGACCCTTCTTATCTGAACATGCAGCTCAACTCCTTGTTCAAGCTCTTGTTCTCTCCAGACTGGATTACTGCAACTCTCTACTAGCCGGGCTTCCAGCTAACTCTATCAAACCTCTTCAGCTGCTCCAGAACGCAGCAGCACGAGTGGTCTTCAATGAACCTAAAAGAGCACATGTCACTCTGCTGCTCATCCGTTTGCACTGGCTGCCAGTTGCTGCTCACATCAAATTCAAAGCTCTGATGTTTGCTTACAAAGCGACTTCTGGCTTTGCTCCTTCTTATCTGCTCTCACTTCTGCAGATGTATGTGCCCTCCAGAAACTTGCGTTCTGTGAATGAACGTCGCCTCGTGGTTCCATCCCAAAGAGGGAAGAAATCACTATCGCGAACGCTCACGCTCAATCTGCCCAGTTGGTGGAATGAACTCCCTAACTGCATCAGAACAGCAGAGTCACTCGCTGTCTTCAAGAAACCACTAAAAACTCGACTATTTAGTCTCCACTACACTTCCTAATCTGCAATTGCCTCTCTGAATATCACACTAACTGTACCTAAAAAAAATAAAATAAAAAAAATACTAATACTACTAATACTTTCCTTCTTAGACTTTACAGACCTATAGCACTTCTTCATTGTTGCTCTTATAGTTGTGTAAATTGCTTCCTTGTCCTCATTTGTAAGTCGCTTTGGATAAAAGCGTCTGCTAAATGACTAAATGTAAATGTAAATGTAGGATAAACAGCAACAAATATCTTTACAGATGAAAACAATTACAGGATTAAAATGATCCAGAGATGATGATTTTCTACATCAATATAAACAGCACTGCCTCCATGCCTTCTCCACCTCGGGGGGCTTCTTCAGTTCATTCATGAAGATCTGTATAATGTTATTATTATTAGCAGTATTTGTAACATTGGGGAGTGACACATACAACTGAGGTTTGGATCCACAATGCAGGTTTATGCAGTGGTCAGGCAAGCGGTGGTCAACACAGGTGCAAACAGACGTATAAAGGTAAATCCAGAATCGTAGTCAATATAACAAGCAAGAGGTCGAAAGGCAGGCGGCAGACAAGGATAACTAAATGAACAAGGCTAGGTTCAAGACACAGGAAAACAAGACAAGGAAAACGCGTTGTAATGCTACTTTACAGTGAACAAGACTCTTGTGAATGAGTGTGTGTGCTGCTTAAATACTGTGTGTAATCAGTCTTTGACAATCCTCAGGTGGTGAGAGTGTAATCAGTCTAAATGAGGAAGCAGGTGTGTGTGTGTGTGTGGCATGACTGAATATGTAGTCCATTTACAAGCAGATTTGTAGTTCTATGAGAGTGAATGATTTCCAGCGACCTCTGGTGGCTAGAGGTCGCTGGTGATTGTAACGGTATTATTGATTATCTGCAAATTTATATTTGTTTTAATAAACACAAGTGTAGATGTGTCCAGCTGTGGGGTTTTGGAGACGTCTGCATATGGAGCATAAGAACAGGACGTGTGTTTGGATATAACTCAGTTTTCTGAGCACACTTCATTATTATTGTTCATTTATTCCTTTGCTGGAGATCAGAACTGAATTTAGTAATAGTTTTGACACAAATCTTTGCGCCTAACAAAGGAAATTAAACATGTGGGCTGATAGATGTGTTCAGTGGAGTGAGTTTCCACCGTTTCCTCACTCCACCAAAGGAGTAAAGTAAAGATAAAGTAAAGAGGCTGAATGGAGGAGGCTCGTTCTTTATCCGCGCGCTGCAGATGCTCTGTTTAACTGTTTTTTCTCTTGTGAAGTGTTGAATTTTTACACTTACAAAGTCCGCCATGTACATAGCAAATGAGCCATGGAGTGACGGAACTGACTCTTAAAGGGAATGAGAGATGAGACTCTGATTGGTTTAATCCAGGTTATGCTCAAAACACACCCAGAACTCATTAAGAGAATAAGGTCAACTCTGTTAGACCATGCACCAGGTCACAAAGCAGATATTTACCGTCCTTAAAATAGCAAAAGTGGATTCAGACACGACCTTAATGCTTTTGCGCCTTGCACTTTAGACTTTGTGCCTAGATCGTTACAATAGAGCCCAGAGTGTGAATACACCAAGGTTTTAAAGTACATATAATGCAATATAATACATCTATACAATATCAAAGTCCCTTTAAGGCAAGTCATTTCACTCTTTGAAACACCCCTCGGGCAGTATGCTCGGGCATTTTGTTTAAATCAGGAAACATCAAATTCTCTAAAACAGCTTGTCAAGCTAACGATTGACCTTCATATTAGGAATCACCAATAAAATTAAACAAGAACTGTACCTTTAGTTTCATTTATAAAAGTCAGAATCTCAAAAAATTGACAGAACCCTCCCGAGATTATTGTCAGTTAATAGCGATCGATGATCGGCTACTGTACTAGAAGGCGGGCTTTTTTCACCATATAGTGATCGAGAATTGGCTCCTGTACTAGTAGGCGGGGCTTTATTTACCATTACACTTTTCCCTATTCAAAAAGATTTGAGTTCTGTATCCGAGTCTTTGATGATTCTCACTATTTTATTTAATTTTTTTACGGTAATCTACTATATTTCATTAGTGTTAATTTTCCAATTTGTGTGTGTGTGTGTGTGTGTGTGAAATATATTTTGAAACAAATACTTTTCTTAATTATTGTTTTTTATTATTCTTTTTTATTCAATTATACTAGCGTAATTTATTTATTACTAGTTTGTGTTATTAGTGGTATTAGTAATAGTGTGTAATGATGGGGGGAGTGACAGAGACAACTGGAAGATCCACAATGCAGGTTTATTGAGCATCAGGCAAGCAATGATCAAACAGGTACTAACGGGTATATGCAGGCAGTCCAGAATCGTGGTCAGTATACAGGCAATAGGTCAGAAGGCAGGCGGCTAAACAGGAGAACACGGGTTAACAAGGCTAAGATCTAAACACTGGAAACAAGACAGGGAAAACGCTTTGTAATGCTACTGATACAGCTAACCAGACTCGGCAACCTGGATGGGTGAATGAGTGGCTTATGAAGGGTGTGTAATCAGTCTCTGACAAGGTTCAGCTGATGAGAGTGTAATCAATCTTGATGAGTGAGCAGACGTGATTGTGACCGGAAAGCATGTATGTCTATGTAGTCCAGAGGAAGGCGGAAGTGTAGTCCATAGTGTTCGTGTGAGAACCAGCGATCTCTGGAGAGCGATCGCTGGTTATGTGACAGTGTTAGTGTCATTAATTATATTGTTAAAATATTTTAATAGTTTGTTTTTGTACAGTACCCTTTAGTTTATTTTGTTTTTGAGATTGCATGGCCTGTCAGACAGACAGAACTGGCACCAAACACAGACATCTACATGACCTTGTGTGACATCTGAAATACATTTCAGAAATGCACAGCTATACTGAACACTTAGAGACGATCATCTAAAAACACAGAGGATCCAGCGATCTGAAACAATCACATTCACTGACCTTTAGATCTCCAACATCACGTCTGCTGCGCTTCTTCATCCTCTCTCAGTGGATTCATCTCTTCACATGCTCCATTTCTCAGACAGAACAAAAAAATCACATGCAACTTTTCCCTCTCTGTCTCTTTCTCCAGAAAACCTTCCTGCCCGCTAACACCGAGGAAGACATCTTTCAGCATTTGGGTTTAGAGTACATTGAGCCCTGGCAAAGAAATGCCTAATTTCACTCTCTGAAACCTGCAGATGTTCAACAGCAGCAGAAAAGAGGAGACGGAGGGAATCTGATTTACACTGAAATAGCTGTGTATGAGCTTTACTAGTCTGTGCCTTTTTAGTTATGATTTAGTTTAAAAATCACTTTTTCTTTTTAATTATTTCCCAAATGATGTTGAACAGATTCAGGTATTTTTCAAAGTTATTATATTTCCTATAATATTTGTTCTTCTAGTGAAAGTCTTTTTTGTTTTATTTCGGCAACAATAAAAGCAGTTTTTAATTGTTTACACCCATTTTAACAACCCAAGCTCATTCTGGAAACGTAGCCCCGCGGATGTTTCTGGAGACCGCGATTTACGTGGCCGGAGGTACGTATGGCCGCATTTAGTTTTTTCCGAGAGAACGCTACGAGGCGGTGTGACACCGCTCCTCTTCTCCACGCCCGCCGGCTGACGGCTCACCTCCGTGTTGAGGCCTTACCCGCTGCAACCAGTTAGTCCGCTTAGCTCGTAGTGTTACGTCGGCAGAGCGGAGGCCCGGAGGAGGAGGAGCCGTTGGTGACGACCGCGTTCGAGTCTGGGGAAGAGCGGTTCCAGAAATCAGGTAAGATGAAAAACAGAATCCAAAAAATAAAAGCGAACGAGTTCGTGACGGTGTGAGAATATGGCGAAATCCGAAATGCGGTCAAAATCAGTTGATTTTGAAAAAAATTTTTGGACGGCTTTTGTAAATCGTCGCTTGGGTTAAGGGAAGGAGGAGGAGGGTGGTTGGGTAGGCCGATTGGCCGGCCGCCCGCCCAGTCGATCGTTCAGTTATTCAGTCAGTTGGACAGACAGTCGCTCGACAGCCACCTCCGGCTGCTTTTTTTTACACGAGAACAGCACGGGCGCGAACGGCGCGTGCTCCAGAGAGGAGTTTGAGACGCAAAAAAGCGTGCACAGCGGCCTCTCGCAGATTTGCAAAACAAACTGCACAAATACGTATCTCCCGGGATGTATTTCGCGGCCTCCAGAAACGTCCGTGGGGCTACGTTTCCACGAGCCTGGGTTGCATTTTAAGGTCAATATTATTAGCCCCCTTCAGCAATGGTTGTTTTGGATTGTCTGTAGAACAAACCACTTATATACATGCTATATATAGTTTTAGTTTTTGTGTCTATTTCTATGTTCTGGTCAGCAATTCATTGGTTATAAAAAGGTAGAACAATCTGTAAAGCACTGATAAAAAAAAGCATGTGACTGGAAAACCTTAGTAGTGGTTTAAGCAGTTTAACAGTAAAGCCCGTTTCACACTATAAGCGTGAGCAGAACATTAGCAGCACAAGTTTTTTTCGGCATCCGTCTTAACAGATTAGAGCTTTTATACTGCACATAGAAGAAGTGCGTCAGCGTGAGGCATGTGCGTCGCTAAAGCAGCAATGCCGCAATAGTTTCGGCGCTGGGTTTATTTTTGCTGACTATTTTTGCATTGATTTTGACCAAAAAACATATTAAATGTGTAAAAAGTAGCAATTTTACCCAATAAATGCATCAATAAGATCTACAGATTTTTATATAGTCAATCAATATAGTCAATTATTTATTTAGGCCCGAACTACAAAACCAAATGCAAACCAATTTAAGTTTTGCTTAAGTTGCACACTAGTTTGATCATGTATAAATATCATTATAACTATATTGTATATATATTATCCGCTTGTTAAGTGTGACGTCACGCGAAGCGGCTTCCGGGTCCAAGCGCTCTATTTAACTGAATGGGGAGACTCATGAAATGGTAATAATAAACGTTTACAAAGCGATTTAAGGCTTTCGAAAATCACGATCGCAGTATATATGTCCATGCTTAATATCCGATGGCCAGAAAGTGATAATTTTTTTGTAAATTTTTGGTATTTGTTATGCAGCAAGCCCAGAGATTGTTGTGTACACTATGATTCTATATAAAATTAACTTTAATGTGTGATAGGAATAAAACGTGATCATAAACGAATGATTTCGGCGAATGAGTGGCGGCTTGGACCCGAAACAGTATTACATACGTCACAAACACGTCACTACTTAACAAGCTGATTACAACTATAGGCCTACATCATGCTGACAATCAAAACAAAATGACATGAAATAAGAGGCTATTCTCTTCTGACCGAGTGCACCTGAAAAGACATGAACGACACTCCTCAGCGTGAGAGAAGCATACAGCTCTTTAGGTATATACTTTGTAAAATAAAGACTTGCTGGTTAAGGAAACAGCAGGAAGTTGCCGCGGGTCTTGGTGCAGATGAAAAGTTGTATAAAAAGGTGTGTATTTATAGATGGATAGGTAACTAGATAGAATAGACAGAGATAGATTGATCTGTGTAGTCGGTGTGTAAGGTAAACGCCTGCACGCTGCTTCTGCTCTCCACACGAGGTGCTCACGCTCTGCTTGCACTTGCAGTGTGAAACAGGCAGAAGTTAAACAACAATTAGTACAGAATCAAATGTAAGCATTTTAAAAGCTCTGCATTATCCATATGTTAGTTAAGACAATAATACCAACATTTCAGTCAACATGTAATGTGTTGTGGTAATGTTTATAGTTAATAATGGTTAATGAATGGTTTCCAAACAGGTTTCCCAGAGGTTTCTTTAAGATTACAGTTTAACGGACGTTTTTTTTTTTTTCTTGCGTTTTATTTTTACTTTGATTATAATGTTTTGTTTGAAAATAGACTACTTTTTTTAAAGGTTTTTAAGTCTCTTCTGTTTATTAAAGCTGCATTTATTTGATTAACAATACTGTACACACTGTCAGATGTTATTACATTTCATAATAGCTGTTATTGATATGAATATGTAATAGTGTATGAAATTTGTGTGATGTGAAGCTAATGTTTTTAGCATTATTTCTTCAGTTTTCAGTGTAACGTGATCTTTCAAAGATAATTTGATTATTTTTGATGTTGATTTCACTGTTAAAAATAGTTTTTCTGGTTCAGATTAGTGTGGAAATCATTACGCAATATATTTTTTGATTAATAAAAAGCTTGAAATGACAGCATTTGTTTTAAAATAAATGTGTTTACTGATACTTTTAAGATGGCACGGTGGCTCAGTGGTTAGCACTGTGGCCTAACAGCAAGAAGGTCACTGGTTCGAGTTTAGGCTGAGCCAGTTGGCATTTCTATAGGGAGCTTGAATGTTCTCCCCATGTTGGCGTGGGTTTCCTCCAGGTGCTCCGGCTTCCCCCCACAGTCTAAACACAATTGAATTGAACTAAATTGGAATAGTTGGTGGTTCATTCCACTGTGGTGACCTCTGATAAATGAGGGACTAAGCTGAAGGAAAATAAATGTTACTTTTGATCAATTTAATGTGTTCTCAAATATATATATATAATTATAAAGATCCTTTGAACAGTAGAATCAAACGATAGCATAGATTGCAAACACTTTAGGCTGTAGTTTATCACATTTTCCTCATTTAAATGGGTGATAATTATCGTACTTTCCCTCTCCAACATTGGTTTAGTGAGTGGAGTTGCCTGAAATTTCATCAGCGCGGCTTTAGAGCGTTCTCTGGTCAACAGACCTTCTGAACATTAGTGAAAGTTAATTAAAATACATATATAGAATGACTCATTTACAGCTATGAGAGCAAACTAAAAGACCACTGGAAAATTTCTCTGGATTTACCATATCTGTTATGTGTGGTTATAATGAAAAGGTTTATGTTTGTTTTGTTCTACAGAAGTATAATAACATTTCATGCAAATTCCTTTTTTTTTTTTGTTGCGTATTTACTGTGTGTGTTTGTGCGTGTGTGCTCATACATGTGTGTGTGCCTGTATATGTGTATGTGTGAATTCATGAAATGTTTTTATTTGTTGTGTTTAAAAATCAGTGTTATTCAACCAAAGTTTTATTTATTTATTTATTCGTTTATTTATTTCTATTAAAATTTTTTTTTTAGGGTTTTCACCTTTAATGGACTGGATAGTAGAGAGTATTGACAGGAAAGTGTGGGGAGGAGAGAGAGGGAAGGAACAGCATAGGACCTCGATGCAGGAATCAATCTCGGGGCATCGTGTGCATGTATGTGTTGACACATAATAAGACATATAAACGTTGATTTCAATAGTTTATTAATCCTTTACTAACTCATTCTGAATGATCCTAAAAACCCTCAAGTACTCTTAAATACAAATGGTTTGTAAATAATGCGATACTTAATTTAGTAATGAAAAATAAATCATTAAGTATGAAAATACAATTATTTAGCACATTATATGGGTGCTAATAAGTCAAGAATAGAGCATTTGTAGCTGCAGTTATAAGCTGCTTACTAATGTTTATTAATGTAGAGTTAATGCTTAACAGATAATGAATTCACTATTTGCTAATGCTTAATAAATGATTTATAGTGAGTAGTTCTTATAAAGTGTTACCGAAACGGCTGAACCTAATCAGAGGAGCCTGATAAAAAAATTTGCAAGAAAAGAATTGATTGATTGATTGATTGATTGATTTGATTGATTGATTGATTGATTGATTGATCGATTTAAAAACAAATTAAATAAATATCATCAGTGGTTTGCAAAATTGCGCAAAATGTATATTATTCTCAAATGGATAATTTGTACTGAGCTTGTAATGAACTTCAAGGTGGTTTCATCTTGTATTGTTTTTTTTTTGTTTGTTTTTTTTCCACAGTAAAAATTCTTAAATGAAATAATTAAAAATTAGTATTAAAAAATTTACGGCTTTTTGTGGCTGATTCAATTCTGTAAATATGACATCCTATTGTCACGGGTAGAAGAAGGAGTGAACTCAAGTGCAGAACACAAAGTGTTTAGTAAGGAGAAAGTCTTTGCAAAGGAACAAAAAACCCAATCGGGTGAGTGCCGGGGGAGTGCCGTGGTAAAACAGTCCAGAAACAACGGGAGACTCGTTCACTGGCAGCCCTGGACACAAATATGGGGTGAGTAACAGACCGTTATACACACACACCAACGACAACAGACTGACAAACATGAAGGGAAATGACGTGCTATAAATAGGAACAAAGGGATGA